ACATAACTGAACATATATCTATATTTTATTTTAAGTTTCCTGTCCCCTACATCATTCTACAGACCAATAAAAATATAACAAAAGCAAGCAAGCAGAAGGAAAACAAGATATTGTATTTCTGGTATCTGAGATGGAAAGATAAGAGATGGGAAGGACCCTTAATTTAAATAGAGTTTTCAAGCAGGCACTGCTGACACTGATATTTAGTGTTTTTCATTTTGAAAGACCATTACTGAGTTTAGCCACGACTTACCTTCTGTTTCTTTAAGCGGCCTCCATCCCGTGGTGGTTGTAAGTGGAACTGTTGACGCTAGATAATTTTGTAAACATAACATATTAGAAATCAATTGGAAGAACTATACTCCCTAAGCAATCTCCATGGTTAGAGTGGACATGAAAACCCTCTAAACTGTCATAGGTGTTATGGGAAAAAAATGTTTACGATGAGTTGTAATACTCTAGTGTCGAATTAATCTTCTGTTGCTCAGAGGGCTATACACTCAACTTCGTGTAGAATAATTATGTTTCACTGAAAGTAAGTGGAGTTTCAACGTGTCTGTAAGGATTGTGCTATTTCTCTACTTTACCTCTGGTATTTTTAAATACCTTTACACTAAAAGGAACAATAAAGACCGCTAACAAATATATTGGAAACTTTTGAGTGCTAATGAAGGATGAATATTCTGAGATGAAATATTTTGGAATTCTCTTAAAATAACCCCCTTCCCCCTAAACAATGTTGGGGGAGGGGGCAATATTTGATGACGAAAATTGTAATTTTTAATTATATGTTAAAAAATCCTAAATACTTTTCCTTCATGGTAGTATATCCTTAGTACACCAAGCGGGAAGTGGAGGTGCATTCAAGAACCAACAACCGGAGCGAACAACTCAGTATCTCCCTTAGGAGTTATGAACTGCTGGTGTCTTTTTGTAATTCCTAACAACAGCCCCCTACCCCCTCCCCATCCCCCCTTTTTTAATCTCTTTAACATAACCCATTATGCAATATTTACAGGCACAGATGTAAGGGGAAAAAACGCACAGATAATATTTACCTTTTTGGCGTTGGAAAATATTTGTTTGTCTTACGTTTAGTCTGACAGTATATGACCTAACCGTATCAACATCAATAGTTATTCTCGCAAGATATTCATTGGTATCATTGAGTTGCAAGTTCTTAATGATAAACCAGGCACGCCCAGCTACTAGATTTCCAACAAAGTCCACCCTCCAAGCATACGCCTTGCTAATATTTGGATTGTAGTGTACNTTTTTTCTTTCTTTTGCCTACTTTTTGCTTATACTGTAGAGTGTTGAGGATTGCCATAGGTATTCCATTCTCCATAATGGAATTGCAAAGATAATTCCCCTTTTCTCTTTTTGTAAACAAAAGCAAAGTCTTTTACTTGGGAGACAATTATCTTCACTTTATGCYGATACCTCCTCTCTGTAGCCAGTGTCCGAGTAAAATATTTCTTTACATCTTTTGAATCCATCCCAGAGAKACACGATAAAAAATTTAGCACCAACTGAAATGAAGTTAARGATATGACTTCTGCCTTTCYATTACTGGCAATATAGCAGTCGGGCTCCCTGACTTCGAKATCTCTTAAAACCTGACGTGCAGTGCAAAARAGACCATAAGGAATACATCGACATATTTCCCCACGATAAGGATTCCTTGTGTGCACTTTTCCACACAGTCGCCTATGAATTCCTTTGAGCCAAATTCTAGCTTCATTGTCTAAAATTGACCCTACCGTTAGGGTGCTTGTGYGTAAGCGGAGAGATGCTGGCAAAATAAAGAAAAAAATATCTTAAATAAAGTTTTCTTTTCAATACATAGAGTGTTATTTACACAACATAAGCTTAAGCAGAGTTCGATATTTACACATTTTGTTTTTACTAAGTTACCGCTGAGCAAAAAGAATGGCCAACGTGGCCGTTTTCGGGTGCCTTTGTGCCCGGCGTGAAAAATGAAATTAAATATTTTTTTTATTAATTTCTATTAATTATTATTATTTATTTGCTATGACAATTTACAATAAAGATTAATTTAAATCTTAAATATATTTTAGATTATTTGTTATTAAGGGGACTAGTAATAGAGAGATAAGAATCTCAAGCAGCCATTAGGCTTATAGGCTGAGTGGGATTTTTCCATGCTGAAGTGACATTCATACAGAAAAAATATTAGCATTGTAAGTTTCAGATTAATTGAGTTTTATCAGATTATGGAGGACAGCTCAGTATGAAAATTGGTGTAAAATAGAAAATAGAAATTGTTTGAATGGCATAGGAATCATGGAATATGAGAACTTATTGCTGAAATTACAACCAAACATGCACAGCATGAAGAGATATATTTTAAGTTTAGTATGGGGGGAGGGGGTATAAAATATGTTAACAAGCATGGAAGGAAGAAGGCTATTGCAATGACATAGAAAAAATAATTAGATGAAATACATAACTGAACATATATCTATATTTTATTTTAAGTTTCCTGTCCCCTACATCATTCTACAGACCAATAAAAATATAACAAAAGCAAGCAAGCAGCAGGAAATCAAAACGAAGGTCCAAAAGCGTCCAACATCAAACAACAGTGACTGATAGATCGTTGACAAGTGATGTCAAGAATAAATCGAAAACTATTAAAAAAGTCGTTTTTCGATTATTCCTTGCTATCAATAAATTCTATTTGAAAATTATTTTTGGAAAATGATAGCTTATTGTGCATTCTCTCGCAAAATATAAAAACCTAAAAATCGATTTTGGGGTATCCTGATACCTTAAACAAGATCTCAGGTCTTTTTATCTCAATTCAAAGGTTCAACTTGCGATAAATCCGTCATATACCAGTTAATCCCTATTCTTTTCACAATATTTTCATTTATTTGTAGTCTTACCGTCGTGATAGAAGTTCTTCTTTGCACATGTCTTGGCCTTGCAATCAGTGTTAGGGCACTTCCACCTTCGTTATTCGATGTTGCACATCGTAGTCACATATTGATCGTCTGATACCACTTGAACATCTCTGTTCCTATCAAAAAGGTTGTACAAGACAAGAATACAGTAGGTCTAGGCACGTTCAAGGTGAAAAATCGAAGAGATTTGAAGAAAAACTTGACCTTATAAAGCTTTTTTCAATCCATCTTCGAAATGTGCTGAGTTGCAAATGTGGAAATAAATAAACAGGTATCCTAATATCTTGATATCAAAATCACGGTTAGGTTTTTACGATCTTTTGGTTTTTGTCTGACAAGTAAGGCAGGTATGTTTATCGATTTAGTTCCTTGCACAACTTTTGATTATTATTCAAAAACGTATTTATTTTTTCACAAGAAAGACTTTTTCTTTTTTATTCTAGTAAAGCGATAGAGGCAATGAACCATGGATAGACGTGTCGTTTTGATCTCTGCAAATTTTCTTATTTTACTGTTACTACTGTTTTTACTGTTTTCTTGAATACTACATTTCCATGTTGGGTATAAGTGCTAATTTAAATGAGGGAAACCAATATTTCATCGAAGTTCTCGATAATTGCAGCAAAAATTCAAGGATTATATTTACGACTAGAAAATGCAAATGCATAAACGAAAAGTCGCCTACCTTATTTTCACAATTCTACTGCAACGTTTAATATACTCGCCTCTGGTGATGTATATCCAAATCCAGGACTCGTTTTGGATTCCACAGACAAGCCTAAGCCGTAATACCCTGCTTTGAAGTGTCCAAAATCTCTCAAGGCAGTACAGCGAAATCATAAACGTCTAAAATGGAGTTGGAGTTACGAACTAAGAAGATATGAATTTCATTATATTCCATCCATCAGTCTTTCTACGCATCGTCGATCTTCAATGGAAACCTATTCTAGAAATGTCAACAATCTGATACCTGTTGCGCTTCTTGGTGCTCCATAGAAAACTCAGCTTTCCAGTAATTTTGCTATCTTGAATGCAAGATCTATTGTCAGAAAATCCACTCAAATATGTGACCTTGTCATTTCTAACCATCAAGACATTCGGCCTTAACTGAAACTTGGCTAAATGGAACAGACCAAGATAATCATTGCATAGCTGATATCCATAACATCCTTCAAAATTATATTTTTCACCACGTCCCAAGAAAGAATCGTAAAGGTGATGGAGTTGCTCTGGTCATTCGAGATGGCTTCACCGTGTTAAAGAACACCCCTATGGCCACTAGTTCACTCGAATCTCCATCTCTCACAGGAATTATATGTTTCACCTAGTCATTATTTATTGTCCTCCGCTGAGCAAACACCCAATAGCAACTGTTTCTTGCACGAATTTTCATCACTTCTAGAAGATCTTACATTATCAAGACAACCAGTTATTATAGCCGGCGACTTTAACTATCCTGTTGATGATCCTACGAATCATGAGGCATCTCTTTATCTGAATTTTCTGGAATTAACTGAATTGATACAAAATGTTACTGGTCCCACCCACCGTGGTGGCCATACGCTGGACTTAATCCTATCGCGTGAAGAGGATAATATTGTCTCACATGTTCATATCCTGTCATCTGATAATACTTCAAACAATAGTCTTATTACCTGCAAACTGAGCTGTTCTAAACCATCACTTTCTAAACTACGTGTCAAGCACAGAAATTGTAGTCTCCAACTACATGAATTGATGGTTTTCACGGCGGCCATGTTAGAGGAACTTACAACAGTACCTCATGAACTCCTCTCTTGCTACTGGACAGTTTCCTGCTCAATTAATATTATCTCTAGTACGGCCTTCATTAAAGAAACCTTCATTGGATCCAGACTGCCTTTCAAACTACAGACCAATTGCTAATCTGTCCTACCTCTCCAAAACTATCGAAAGAGTCGTCGCCATCCAATTAAACACATGTATGGAACAAAATCAGCTCTTTTCCAGCAATGCAATCTGCTTATCGTAAATACTTTTCAACAGAAACTGCTCACTTAAAGTTTCCAATGATGTATTAAGAGCTGTTGATCAACACCAAGAAGTGGTACTTGTCCTAATAGATCTTTCAGCTGCATTTGACACGATCGATCACGACATACTGCTTCAGAGGATGAAGATACGGTTTGGCATTGAAAATACTGCGTTGCAATGGTTTGCATCTTATTTAAATCATCGTTTGCAGTCAGTGAAGATCAAAAACTGTATCTCTAAACCTCGTCAAATAAGCCATGGCGTGTCACAAGGCTCAGTACTTGGTCCTTCGTTCAGGACAAAGTTATTGGCAAAATTTCTTTCGAGGGAATTACCTTAAGGCCATACATAAATATCGTGTGTGTATAAGAAAGGGTGGGGAAAAATCATTAGCACCACAAAATATATCAATAAAAGGTTGAAACTGTACGTGCTGACGTTTCTGGCAATCGTCGGAGTAAAAAAGAAGTTGCGTTAACCTTATTTTCTGTAAATAATATGTTCTATATAAATAAAACTTGATATACAAATAGCGTATAGTTAGAACTGTTTACGAATCATTCGAAGTACTCTTTAGAGTTGGAATATCTCTATGATGGCAAAACCCCTAAATTATTTAAAGAAAAAAAGAAATAAAAATATAGTGAACACAATCACAGGGAGCCCAATTTAGATTAAAGTGAACGGAGAAAATAAAAGCGGAAAAATTAAAAAATTCATTATTTTTTCTTAAATTGGAGATCAAGATAATGTCCTCCGTAATGCGAAAGAGGGGGAAAAAAACATTAAAAATGCAAACCAAAAAAATGTCGCCCATAGCAATCTTTGTGGAATGAATTTTTCAAAAACAACACTAGCCCTGTGGGGTGGCTGGTGGTGGGTCGTGTACACGTTACAAAAATTCTTTGCGGTAGAGTAGCAAGGTCGAAATTCGTTCTCGCCCGAGTCCTACGCAGGTAAGAACCTTGACATAACATGGCAAATCATAGAAATCTTGGAGGAAGAGCCAAAAGAGTTTTATATAAATGAGTCCCCCATATCAGGGATCATTTTGATCAAGTTTTTTGTGGAAGCTCGAGGATTAAAAGACGATCAAATCGTGGTTTAAAGTGTGTTGTTTTTTCAAATATGGCGACTGTAGTTTCCTCCCTTGTCAGAATATATAAACAAGATCAACATCAGATACCATAGGGAAATTAGTATAGGAAATCGCACGATCTCGAGTACAATTTGGAAATTAATAGACACGAGTAATGTTTTGAAAGTTCTTGTAATTGCACGAGCCTTTAGGCGAGTGCAATTAAAGAACTTTCAAAACATTACGAGTGTCTATTAATCCCAAATTGTACGAGAAGATCGTGCGATTTTTTGTTTATAGTTCACTCAACAAAGTTTCAGTAAAAAATGCGAAGCGACGCCGTTCATCTTTGTCTATTTGGCGGCCGATGTTCAGTCCATCGCGCAACTGAAATGCATAAAAAAGATTAGTTCTTACGGTTTTAAAATTTTATTTATATGTTTTTTTAAGAACAAAATGATAGAAAATAATTTTACATTCCAAGTTTTGGCCGTGTTTTCATAGCGACTTAATTCGGTACTACTACGGAGTACAATTAACGCTATAATTGTACTCCTCTCGACCAATCAGAGTCGAGTAATTTTGTTGAGTGTACTATAAAATAGGAAAACGAAGGCTCGCGCGAAAAAAAAGTTATAGTTCATTTTTTAATGATTTTTTTTTCTCAGTCGCATTATGGAGGACATTATCTTGATCTCGAATTTCTGAAAAAGCAATTAACTTTTTTAATTTTTCCGATTTTATTTTCACCATTCACTGTAACCTAAATTGGGCTCCCTGTGGTTGTGTTCACTATATTTTTCTTTCTTTTTTTCGTTAGAGGGTGAGGGGTTTTGCAAAATTCGTTCATACAAATCTTTTAGGAATAGCCAAAAGAGTTTTAAATAAATGAGTCCCCCATATTAGGCATTATTTTGATCAAGGTTTTTGTGGAGTTCGAGGTTTAAAAGACGATCAAATCGTGGTTTAAAGTGAGTTGTTTGTTCAAATATGGCGACTGTAGTTTCCTCGATCTTATGTATATATATTCTGACAAGGGACAAAGGCGCGAGCGAAAAGAAATGTTTTAGTGAATTTTTTAATAATTTTTTTTACTCCTTCGCATTACGAATGGAAATTAACTTGATCTCGAATTTAACTGAAAAAATAATTAATTTTTCCGATTTTATTTTCTTCATTCAATTCAATCTAAATTGGGCTCGCTGTGAAAACAATCAACTACCTTTTTTAAGTTGAAACGCTTAAAAGAGTAAAGAAACAAAATGTATAAGGATCTCGCGAAAATCTCGTGACTCTATTAAAAACCCCTCAATTGTGTAGCTCAACATTTCTCTAATTTCCTCCTTTCTTTGCTTTCCTTCAAATTTAATATTTGTAACACATTCACTTACCAGTTTTTGTGTGATGGGAATGGAGAGTAATAACCTTTGATCGCAGTTTTCATCAACTTTTCGTCAGAAGGTAAAAATCAACAGATCGTGTTCTATTTCTTGTTGTTTTCAAGCATCACACCGCTGGCTTTCCTGACCGACGTAATAAACCACAGGCATCCGTATTTAGAGCCTTGTTTACGTACAGCTATCTGTTCATAGCATTCCTGCGGATACAAAGTGAAGAACACCACCCCTCCCCCTTTAGTCATGAAGACCACCCACCCTTTTATAGGTATGAAGGTATCTTCATATCTAAAGGGGAGGGGTGGTATTCTTCAATTCGTATCTGCGTATCCAATAAAACATAAAAAGGAAGTGCCGCCTACCTGCCTGGCTAATATTCCTACCTGCCTGGCTGTCTGATATTCCTACCTGCCTGGCTGATATTCCTACCTGCCTGGCTGATATTCCTACCTGCCTGGCTGATATTCCTACCTGCCTGGCTGATATTCCTACCT